TTCAACCCCCTGCCAAAAGCAGGACAAATCCTAACTAAATCATCCCAGCCAAAGATTTGTCAAGCCAGGACTGGAAAACCTCCACGGATAGAGATTCCACCACATCCCTAGGTAACCATTCCAGTTCTTAACCACCCTCCTAGCTTTTTTTCCCCCCGTAATATCCAACCTAGACCTGCCCCACTGCAACTTGAGATCATTACTCCTCGCTCTGTCATCTATCACCGCTGAGAACAATCTCTCTCCATCTTCTTTGGGACTACTTTCAGGTTGTTGAAGGCTGCTATCAAATCCCCCTCTGTTCTGTAGACTAAATATGCTCAAATCCCTCAGCCTCTCCTCGTAAGGCATGTGCTCCAGCCCCTTAATCATTTTTGTTGCTCTCTGCGGGACTTTCTTCAATGCGTCTACATCCTTTCTGTAATGGGGGCCCCAGAGATGGATGCAGTACTCCAGATGTGGCCTCACCAGTGCCAAATAAAGAGGAATAATCACTTCCCTAGATTTGCTGGCAGCGTTCCTACTCATGCACCCCAATATGTTTGCGCCTTCTTGGCAACAGAAGCACACTCCTGAATGGTATCCTGCTTTTCATCCATTGTAATCCCTAGATCCTTTTTTCAGTACTACTGCTTAGCCAGTTGGTCCTCAGCATCTAGCAGTGCTTGAGATTCTTCCGTCCCAGGTGCAGGACTCTGCACTTGTCTTTGTTAAACCTCATCAGTTTTCTTTTGGTCCAATCTTCCAATTTGTCTAAGTTACTCTGGATCTTGTCCCTATTATACAGTGTATCTAGCTCTTCTCCTAGCTTAGTGTCATCCACGAACTTGCTGAGGAAGCAATCCATCCCCTCATGTAGGTCATTAATAAGGATGTTGAACAAAACTGGCCCCAGAACCAATCCTTGGGGCACTCAACTTGATACCACCCCAACCAGACATCGAGCTGTTGATCCCTACCTGATAAGCCCGATAATCTTGCTAGCTTTCTATCCACCTTATAGTCCATTTATCCAATCCATATTTCTTTAATTTGCTGGCAAGAATACATACATTCCTGTTGTATCAAATATCTGGGAGAGAGCAGTGTTTCACTAAAGTGCTCTCATTGCTCCAACTTACAGGCCAGAGCCAGGCACAACAGAGATCTGTGCCTAAAAATGATACTACTGGAGAAATCTCTTCAGCCTTCAGGAGAGGACTCTTCCAGTCACCAGAAAACAGGTACCAAAGACAAGGCTCAGACTTCCACGAATGTGAGGAAGCAGGCCTCCTTCTTGTCTGACCAGGATTCTTGCCTGCGGTGCTTGAGAGCTTACCTACGGTGCTGAATTCGACCAGAATCAGCACTGCTGACAAGACAGGCACCTTATGTATCGGCACAGATGCTAGTTGTGCAGAACCTGGCGGACACTCTGAAGTGAGACCAAGTCTCTACAATGGCATCGCCAACACAAACCTCAGACCCAGCACCAAAGCCAGCTTGTTCCAGTGTGCAGCTCCCACCAGCACTGATGGTGGCACAGATTGTAGCATCAACACAGAAATCACCCAGAAAGGCTAACGTGGCACTGAAGTGGACCACAATGAAGCGGCCTTCAGCACCAATACAATTCCTCCAACATGAGAAGTCTACTTAGTGCTGCAATCACTGCTTTTCAGCACTGGCTGTTCTCCTAATAGTAGATCAGAACTGCTGCCTCTGACTCTAGTACCAGCACTCTTGTACAGCGAGCTAGATACAGGAGAACAGGTTCTCTTTCTAATATTAATCACCCAGTCAAAGAAAACATCCCTGGGAGCTTGGGCTTTTCAAAAGAGTGGCCATGCTGCAGGAATTTGACCTACAGGAAATGCCGGAGAATCAACATAAACTCTTACCTTGAGTAATTCAAAATATATGCAAAGACCAAGCATACGTCATGTTTGTAGTACCAATGTGGCCCAAACTGACTTGGTTCCCTTACCTCAAGCGACTGGCACCTTGAAATCTGCGCTTGCTATCACACCGCCTGGATCTTTTATTGCAAGTATATCTGAATCCAACAACTCTTCATTTCAAAACCTGGTTGCTCCAGGGCTCCATCATGCTAAAGAGACCTGCTCAGAGTAAAACAAATATTTATAAATAGCAATAGCCCCACAACTAAAAGACTTATCTGTACAAATGGACCAATTCATATGGCTATAGTAGGACTGGCTGTCCTCTCCCCTCTGTCCTGGGCACTGTTCCAAATCCCATTACCTCAGGATGGACACTGCTCTACAGACACCTAAAGTGGAGCCTCCCACAGGGACAGCACTTGAAGAAGAGGGTAGTTACTCACCTTGTACATTAACAGTTGTTCTTTGAGATGTATGCTTGGCTATCCTCCCCTACTTTGGAGGCCATATATAGATTGTCCCAGCAGAGAAGAACAGAGGGAACTGCATCATGTGCACAGTCAGAGGGTGCCAATGGACCACGAGATGCCTTCTACGCATGCTCCGTGTTGCAGGGCACTGCTACAGAAAAACCTCTGATTGCCAGTGCAAGAGTGCATCAGCACCTAAAGTGGCACACCCACAGGGGAACATATCCCAAAGAACCATTGTTATGCACAAGTGAGTAACTTCTTTGTTCCATGCTTAGGGCTAGCCTTAGGGGCGTGTGGGGCCCAGGACAAATCCAACCCCCCTCCAATAACCCAGATACGGGACCTGTGAAGCCTCCCATTATAGGACCCACATCTGCTCTACTGTTTCTCCCAAGTCCCATCTCTGAACCTCCCCTCCTGCCTCCGTTGCACCCCTTTGCCAAAGCCCCATCCCCTGAGCGATGTGAGTTGGGGGCTTACTAAGGAGCCTTGCACAGGATGGCAGCAGGGGTCCTCCGCACTCCCCACAGTGGTGGGAGCTGGAGCAACTCAGCAACCTGCTCTGTTCTGCCCTGCTGCCTATCTCCTGGCCTGCTGCAGTCCGCATCACCATGGTGGTAGGAAGTAAAGCACAGTCAGTCAGGAGTTGACATCAGGGTGGAGTGGAGAGGGATGCTGGGTTGCTCCAGCTGCTGTGGTAAGTGTGGGCTGAGGCCCTGCTCCAGCCTCCTCCCACCCCTCCATTCCCTTTCTGATAATTCTCTGTGCTGCCCCTGGACCCTGCCAATAAGATGATTGAGGCAGCCAGCATCTTATCCTCCAAAGCATGGGGCCTGGTGCAACTGCCCAAAAACACCCTGTGGATGGCTCTGTCCATGCCCATGCTGGAGGTAGGTTTTCTCTAATGGGCACAGACTCTTTGCATGACCTAATCTATCCTTGGATCACTCCTGTCTCTTTCTTTCTTCTGGCTCCTCCTTTTTGTCTTCAGTTTTCTCCTTCCAATCCCAGTCTCCTTGCTCAATATGTTCTGCTAACATTTTATACACAGTTTATTTAATTGGATATCGTTCCACAAATTAAAATGTCTGTGTTCCTAAAATTCCTCAGGTAAGTGAGCTATTCCTATTTTTTCAGATATTAAGTGGGCAAACCGGAATCCAAGAGCATTTTTATGTGTGCTCTTTTTTTCATACTGTTTCCATACTTTTCTGTTCTCTGTTCCCTTGAAGTGTCCCTGTCAGTCAGAGCACATTACCATCCTAGAGAAGTACATATGAATTTCTCTTTTCTAGGTACCACTATGGGTCTTTTTATAACCCAGGGCTAGAATCTAAATGCCAGTTTTGCTGCCTCAAACAGTTAAGCTAGCACCTTGAATTCTCATCTAATTACTTTGAATGTCTTTCTTTACTTCCTCCTGCTCACACCAATAAAGCCCAGTTTCTGGTCAGCAGTTTTCTTCTCCACATTGAGGCAAAGCCCAGTGTACTAGATTATTGCTTAAGAGACAGATAATATAGGTATACTCCAAAAGGAATTCCTTCAAACTATATAAGTCTGAAGAGAAGCTGTTCTTTCCTGTACCAGAGCACTGAATGTTTATGAATTTCTTGTAGTTATGTACAGAGTGCAGATTATCCACCAACTGGACAGCATACTTTGCATAAAATCTAGAGGGAGAGTTATCCCAATTTGCCTTGATAAACAAGCTATCCTCTTAATAGCAAAGCTTTTAAAAGAGTAATCTTATAAAAGAACTTATCTTTCACAAAGATCTGCTTGATACATACACAAAACAATCTGTTAATAGATGACAAGGCTTTCTGGATCTTCCCTAAAAATGACTGACCTATTTACATCTAAAAAGTAGTAGTAGTCCTGTGGCACCTTAGAGACGTACACATATATACACACTCTCTCTCTCCCACACGCCCCATCGCTCACATGAGCTTTTGTGGGCAAAGCCTACTACTTCAGGTGAGATGAGATGCAGTGGGTTTTGTCCACGACAGCTCATGATACTTTTATTTATACTCATTATTAAAGTTAAACTAACATGGCTATCCCTCTGATATGGTTTACATCTAGGATACTTCTCTGCTTTATTACAACAAGTCTTAACCCTGGTCAGATGCAAAAGAAGGAATAATATATCCTATCTATCCCATCCACAAGGGGCATTTATTCTACCAATGTTTTGTTTATGGTAATTTGTATGTACCTAATAATAAATGCAAGTGGTGTGAGCTTGACTTGTAGCAGCTCTGACTTTTTCAATGAGCAGTCTTTAAGGTAAATTAACAGGAAAACCAAAAATGCTCTATGTTCTGAAAAGAAGTCATGTAACGCAGCATGCCTCTACAGCAATTCAAAATTTTCAGATTGCCAGATGTTTTAGGAAAGTGTATCCAGTTATTTTGGAAAAGTATTGTGTTCAGAGCACCTTCCACAACCAGCCTCAACACAGACCGAGTATAGCTACCATCATACAAAAAAGTATTGCTTTTGTATAATGGGGAAGTAAATTTTTTTATTTTAAAATATCTTTTTCCATGCTAAAATAGTAGATTTTATTTTATTTTATTGTTTGCAGTTGATTCATTTTTAGCTAATAATTAGGACTTTTTTTGTTTTAAATCAGAAATTATGGAGAAGTCGGGTGAAGAAGGAATGCCTGATCTTGCTCATGTAATGCGCATTTTATCCGCTGAGAATATCCCAAATTTGCCACCTGGGGGTGGTCTACCGGGCAAGTAAGTATAATTCATGGCTTTTAGAAATTATAATTTTGAATACAAATCGAACTACATGTTTCTTCATTAACTAAAGACTTGCCTATCTTTAGTAGAGGAGATATACAAACTTTAAGTTAAACTAATCCTGTGTTTGCATTATGGCAAATACCTGCAATAATTTCTATTTTGTCACTACCGGCTTCCCACTCCATCTCTAATGGGGAAAATAGACTGTATTTTGAGATTTGGCTATTGGCTTACAATCTCATACAATTGCACTTAAAGGTATAAAATTTGGCTTTTTAGGCCAAGTCCACACTGGCAAGTTACTGTGAAGTAAGTCAATCCCCAGTGCTGTAAATTTTGAGGTGTCCACACTGGCAAGGCACGTAATGCACAGTAGCTCTGTAGTTACTGCACTCAAGGTAAACCACTTCGGCGAGAAGCATACAGCTTTCTGTTGTTTGGATACAGTGATGAGGTCCCCGTGGGGACACTCTGGTGTAGTACTGCATTGTGACTGGCCTCTGGCACTCTTCTCACGATGTCTGCCTCTCTGGACATCTGTTTGATCCCCCTTTACTGCCCTGTTCTCAGGTGACCAAACCTCAGACCCCCTCTTTGTGTTCTTTTTCAAATTTGAAAGTTCTCTTGTTTGCTCAGCAATCCGTGGTGTGTTCTCAGTGCATCTTTCCAGTTGGCCATGCTTGCATCAGGAGATCTCTTCCTGGAGCCGTGCCAAGGTTTTGGACATCATTAGTGTCTGGGGAGAGGAGGCAGTCTAGTTCCAGCTGCACTCCAGCCTGAAGAATTATGATTGCTACAGGCAGATCTCAAGATGCATGACTGAAAAGGGCCATGACTGGAACACACTGCAGTGCAGGGTCAAGGTGAAGGAACTGATAAATGCCTACCACAAGGTGTGGGAAGCAAACTGCTGCTCCTATGCTGTGCCCGTGCCTTGATGGTTCTACAAAGAGCTGGATGATATAGTTGGAGGTGACCTACCTCCACTCTGAAGACCCCTATGGATATTTCGGGGACTGAAGGGCCATCCAACAGTGGACTGAGATAGGAGGAGGAAATCATGGACAAGTGTGCTGAGGGGCACCCACAGCCAGAGGAAGACTTTGCATCCATAGAATCTTGTAGTCAGGACCCGTTTTATACCCCTAATGAGGCAAACCAGTTGCAGCCCTCCGAGGCGCAGATGATGTGCCTGGTGAGTTGAGTCCCTGGAAACATTCAAGCAAGTTGCAGGAATGGGAGAGTTACAGGAAGAAGGCTTTGTTCTGTAGCTGCTACCAGCACAGGGCTCCTCAGACACTGAGCAAGGGATTGATGCAATCTCTTACTTCATGGTAATCTGCCTCATGGATCCCATCGTAAATGCCATGCAGCTGCTAGACCAGGTGTCTGTGCACGTTTAGTGGAAATACTATTGCACTCATCGTTCCCTAAAGGCTGACATTACGTTGCCATGTTCCATCAGCGGGGGATCGTGGGCTACCATCATTGCACAAAGACAAGCTGTATATGGTCCAGGACAGAACCCACAGTTGAGCAAAAGACCCTCTTTTGCTTCCTTTCTTACTGTAAGGAGTGAAATTTTTTCCAGGATGAGAACAGCCTGTGGAAATGAATCACACCTGTCCAGGGTACAGTATGGCTCTACATGAATGGACACCTCTGCTCTCTGGTACAAATGAGAATCCTGGCCCCACTGCACCAAGGCATTCCCCATCCCTGATGATAAACTCACCATTGTGGGGTTCCTTCCATCATTGTTCCAGAGCGAGCACACACAAGAACCCCACAGTCAGTCAGTGCTAAGTGTGTGAATAGTGCAAGTGTTTAAAAGGGGTCAGGGCAATGCTGTATCTAGTGTCAACAATGGATCCTCTGTAACATGTTGCAAATGTGCAGCTGACCTTTGCATGTGGATCTGAAGTGGTAACGCCTATGGAGAAGCTCAAAAAAGCCAGAATGTACCCCCACAGGATTCGAGAGGAATTTTTGCATTTTTCTGGAGTCATGCTGTTGCCAAATAGAAAGAATTGAAAGAAAAGAGGGAGTGTAAGGAGAACATGGAGCAGCTTGTAAACATTTAGAGCACCAAGCAAACATGTTGCAGGTGTTGCTAGCGCTGCAGACAGAACAACTGCGCAACCAGTCCCTCCTCTCCTCCCTCCCCACAGCTGGCATCCCCAAACCATTTTCCATATACCCCTCTGTCACTGCCAATGCTATTTGGCCACCATTGGTCTGGGAAGAAAGCCCTCTTGCAGCTTCCTAAACAGGCCCGTGTTCCAAAAGATGCTAGCCAGTGTTAATGTTCACAAAACCCCCATGCTGATCTACAAGGGCTTGCAGAACCATGGAGAAATACCCCTTGTAGTGAATGTACTCAGAGGCTAGATGATGTGATGCCAGAATTGGAATGTGTATGCCATCACCCCACTGCAGTTTGGGAAGCCCGTCTGTGCAAAACCTTCTACTTCAAGTCATGCTCTTTTGGAGCAGGATGTGATTGATGGACTTGCACACTTCCAGCAGCACGATTCCAACCATTGACTTTCCAACTCCAAACTGATTGGCGACTGAGTGAAGGGCAGGGTAGCTCTCATTCATGTGTCCTTGCCCCGCAGGATAGGACCCAACTCAGCGCACAGTTCCATGAACGCGACTTTCTCAAAAATTCTGCAGCCATTGCTTTTCATCCCAGGCTTGCATCCCACGATTCAGTGCTTGTTTCCCAAGACCAAAAGCAGAATTCCACTATAGACAGCACCTCCATGTATGCCACAAGAAATCTTGTGTGGTATGTACTATATACCAATTCCTCATCGTTACTTTGCAGCTTCAGGAATAATCCAACTGCCATTTGTGATGTATTAGTGAGACCTATCGACATTTTTGTTAACAGCTGGGCATTCATTCCCGCAGACCGAGGAGGCAGAGGGAGCAGTACAGAAGCAGTTGAAAGATATTGCCAAAAAGAAGCACGGGGAATTGCTGGGATGCAAAGTGATGCATGACAGGGCATTGGGACAGAACCCTGGAAGATCTGTGCCTCTGTTTCATCTTCCTGCAAACCTATACGGCAGAAGAGGAAGAGATGCTTTGTGGGATAGCTGCCTAGAGTTCACCGCTCCAAAAGCAGTTGTATATGCCATAAATGAGATCACGCTACAGCACTGGTGGCTGACAGTGCAGACACCCAACAGCGTTTCACTGCTGTGCTCTGTGAGCAATGATGTAACTGCCAGCACTTTACATCTGCCAGTTGATCATGGCTTTAGCTCTTTATATTTGTTCACTAACTAAGGAAAATGATAGCATAGAAAACTGGCCATTTTTATGTTGCTGTGAATCTTTGGCTTCAGGGCTCAGTGGGTACTCAGGTCAGTGTTAGCCTAGTTGCCTCTTTGAAGAAAAAATGAACTCGTTTTGCTTAATGTGTCAGCTTGAAAAGATCAAAAGGTAGAAAGCACTTCTCAGTATTAAAATTGTGAAATGTTTTGTAAAGTGACATTTTAGGAAAGTTTGAGGTAAGCCTTTTGATAAGGCACCAGGTTTTTTGCTAATGATTGTGCGTGTGAGAGACTGGTACTACAAGCTCAAAATTCTAGAGAATTTTAGTGAACTTTTGTTCTTATTTCTTAAGGCATTATTAAACCAAGGTATAGAATTGTTTAAAATCTTCTACATGGGATTCCTGTATATAGCATAATTTTCCAGCATAAGTCTCAAAATATAATTTAAAAAATATATATTTTCACATTTCACAGTTTATGGTAAGATCACCTTAATAATTCTTAGAGTATTAGGGCTAAGATGAAGGTATGGATTTATTCCAGAACTACTATAATTAAACTTGCGGCATTTTGCATGTACATAGTGGGAATTCCTGAAATGTGCAAACAACTCTGAAGATGTAGCAGGATAAAAACCTGACATATAGGCAGTGGCTGGGAAGCAGTAATTCAGAAGAAGAAAATGTGGTTTGAATACAAATCTAAGCCTTGAAAAATGCTTCATTACCATTAACTAAACTTTTATATTCAGGGAAGACAAACAGGTCTAGTCATGAAATCTCTCTTCATTTATGTTGTAGAGTGTTCAAATTTGTAAGACATTTCTCTGCTGTATTAAGGTTTCTTTTTCATTTTTAGGCGTAATATTATAGAAGCTGTGTATAACAGGCTGAATCCACACAGAGAAAATGATGGGGTAAGTTTGACTTTGGGGACTTAGAATACATTAATAACGAGGAAACCATAATATTTAAATGCAGGTGGTGTGCAGATCACCATTTAAATATTCTGTAGTTAAATGCGCATGTGTTTAAATAGTCAGTATATATTTTGTTACATTACTGTTGAAGAATTTTATTGTTAAAGGGATGGATAGGTGTGTTTGATTCCCAATTCTGAAGACTTAATTTTTAATATAAATGACTGCTTCTGCTTTTCACTGAAGACAATGGAGCTGCACTTTAAGAGGAGGTGGTAGTTTAAATTCACTGTGCTTTTGAAGTAAGTAATGAGATGTAATTTTGTTAGGTGTCCTATAGTTGAAAACCTAGCATCAATTCTGGGTCCTTCTAAGAACCATGTTCATGTAAAAAATGTTGTTGTGTGTGCACTGAGTGAAAAGGGTCATGGTAGTGATACTGGCTATAAATTTTTTTAGTATGTTACACAGATTATTTTAATGAAGATTAGACAATTTCAGTTTTGAAGATCGTTTGTGAAGTAGCCTAGAACCCTTATAATTTACACTTGAATGAAAGTAAGAAGTTGTTGGTTCATTCCTGATTTAATTTTAAATGAATTATTTTCACTGCCTGTTTAACTCCTGGACAATTGAGCTTTCATATCCTTTAAACATTCAATTAGAGAAAAAACCCTATAACCCTATGAAATGTAATGGGTTTTTGTAAATGCTTAAATTACTGGATTTAGTAAGAAATAAATATGAAATTATACTTTAACATCTGTTTTGCTAAGTAATTGTAACACTCATTCCATGTCAATCAACTCCATAGTGACAGATTGGTATAGAGACTTAATGTCTAGGAGACTAACATTGTTTTTTTTTTAGACTTGTTTAGATAGAAACTGATAAAAGACAGATCATTTCTTATTGCTTAGCAAAATGTCGCCTCTCACCCAGGGTGGTCCATCCCTGAACTATTCTGTAAAGCTGCTATCCAGTGATTTAAATGGTCCCCAGCAATCAGACATGCTGAGATGCTTTAAAAATTGAGTCCACAAGTGAAGGCTGTGGTGAGGCAATGGTTAGGGATATAAAATTTTATTTAACCAGTTGGAAATTTTTCTGAATCTACTTGTGCATATAACTTGCCTCTGTATAACTACATGATATTACTGTTACTGTCCTTGTTTTCCTCCATCTATCTTCCTTCTGTTGGCTGTTAGCTTGATACGTTGTGTTAAGAGTGTGACACAAATGCAGTGGTGGTAACTGTTATGCCAACAATAAAATTGCTAGAAAACTTTCTAAGTAGACGTGGCCTTATAGTGCAAGCTCTTCAGGGTAGGAATGTCTTTCCATGTCTCTATATAGAGCCTAGCACAGGCTTGACTCTGATTGGGGTCTTTGTATGCTATCACAATAGAAATAAATAGCTAATGGCTTCATTGTCCCATCTGACTTTTTAAAAATTAAAATGTTTAGTTTATATTATTCTTTTTGTCTTGAATCAAAAGATTAGAGCTAATTTTTATATCTATAATCCCTTTGAACTGTGCCTCAGTTCCTCCCAAAAATAATGCAGTTTACTCCCAAGGCTGTCGGCTGTCTTCATATGCTCAAACATCTGTTTGTTTCCTAATTCTTTCAAGTAATTCTCTGTGCAACCCACCATATCTCCTAACAGTTGGAACAATACATTTTTTCTCCTCTATAATGTCTTTTTCCCCACTTGCAAAACCAAAGCTATTTAGGATTAATTAACACACCCAATTCAGAACATTTACAATGAAAAGAATAAGTCCATCTCCTCTGTCAGATGATTATTATACCTGGCGTTGCTGTAGCATATTTTTGATAGAGCAAGACTTCTAAAGGAAAATGCAAAGGGCCAAATTTATTTAAAATGTGTGTAGCTCCACAGACAAAAACCGACGTATACAAGTATGTTAAGCATTCTCTCAGCTACTCATGAATTGCCAGTCTGAGTCATGGGCCAGTCTTATTAGTATTTAAATATTACCTATTTGTATTTTATTAAACTGCGGGGTTTTTAACACAAGTGTGGATATAGTAGGGATAGTGAAAATAAAGGAGGACAGCATTAATATTAAATGTTACTTTTTGCATAACAGAGTATTCAAATATATGAGCAGTACAGTACAATGTACTTTTTTTGGGCTATGTAAATGTTTTTCCTGCTAGAATTGAATAAAATCCCTGTTTTAAGGGAAATCTGTAATCTTTGAGTGTTAAAGGATGCCTGATAGTCCCAAGAAGTCACTTCAGCTTTAAGCCTTTGATAGGAATATCTCCTTTTTTTGGCAATAGCATTATTTCCCTTCTCTGTCTGGTATGATATGACTTGGAGGAGGAAATTCAGTGCTGCCATTGGGCAACAGCAAATGAAAGGTACCTTCTTTTTCATTATGAGGTGCAGAGTCTAGTACTTCATTTGCTGTGCTAAACCTGACAGTCTCGGTCAGTATTTTGCAACCTTTGTGATACCAGGGACTGATGTGCTGCCTTCTTAAACTATGTCAGGAGAAGATGGCCAACCCAAGATTGTCTAAGAGGATCCCAGAATCAGAATCCATCTCCCAGTGGCTACTGAAACCAATCCACCTGCTAAAAGTCTAGTCAGCACTAAAGCAGCAGTGAGGCTAAGGCAGACTCCCTACCAGTGTTCCCTGTAAGCTGTGTGCTTGGGCAACCACCCAGGACATATTCAGATACCTCCTAGTTAAGTTCCCACAGCCGGCAGCATGCAATTCTAGTAGTGGTGCATATCCACACAATCCTCAGTGCGCATTGCAAAATTTATTCTGTACATGAATGGAAAAAATAGAGGGAACATTGCACCTTACCTATCCTGTCTCTAAACGGCTCCCGAATGAGACCAGCACATCCCTTTGTCTCATAGGTGCATGGGTATCCAGGAAGTCTCTGTGTGCTGCCCCTGCTCCAAGTGCTGACCCCACAGCTCCTATTGGCTAGGAACTGCAGCCAATGGGAACTGCAAGGGTGGTGTCGGTGGGCACAGGCAGCATGCAGAGGCTCCTGCCTACAATCCAGACATGGCAGCCACTTCCCAGAGCCAACTGAGGTAAGTGCTGCCCAGCCAGAGTTCTTCCCACATCCCAATCTTTTGCCCTGAATCAGAACTGAATCCCACATCCATACTCCCTCAGAGCCTGCTCCTTAAACCTTCTTCTTGCACCATTGCCCCAGGCTTAGCCTACACCCCTTTGAGTGATTAGACAATTGTCAACCCATGTCAGGGAGATGTCAGGTACCCATCTCTGGTCTAGGTATGTAATAGTATAGTTGATTAACTGATAAGGAAAAGCTTATAGGTTAATGCTATAGACTACACATATTCCTCTCCCCTCCTTCTCCCATCCCCCCACTTGCCAGTACATTTTTTAGCAGGCTGGCCAGCAGCCTGGCTCAGTCCTGGCTTGAAACGTGTCCGGGACCTACCCCTGCTGCGGCTCTGCATTTAAAGTGTATTCGAGCCGGTCGGGCAGGCAGCCCAGCTCAGTTCTGGCTCATGACTCAGACCCACTGCTGCCAACACATGCTGCTGCCTCTGTATCAGAGGCAGCAGCATAGCATGATAGGCAGCTGGTCCATGAGGGGAGCTGGTTTTTAAACTGTCTCTCCTCGTGGACCAGCTCCCATCTGGCACCCTCTGACACAGAGGCAGCAGTGTGGAGTGACAGGGGGCTTCTCAGGAGTCAGGCTGGAGCACACTGGCTGCCAGCCCTGCCCTTGGGGACTATAGAATAATCGACTAACTGATAAGAATTCTTGAGGTTACGCAACTATTCAGTTAACCGATATTTAACATCCTTACTCTGATCCATGGACCGGTCCTTGAGAAACACTGTTCTAGGACACTGCTACATTCACTCTCCTTGCTAATTGGATTTCCCTTCAGTTTCTTGAGCTTGATGCTTAGAAAAGAAAACAATAAGGAGTGATTGCATTATTAGTTAATATGCTCCAGCAAGTTTTAGGAAATCAGCCTGCAAAATATTCTCCATGCTGTGAAAGCATAACTGGAGTGCCCCAACAAACCTGAATTCAATCAAATACCAAAGGAAGGGGCTGGATACCTACAACATGCCTAATTGGTGAAGGCTTCTAAAGTGTGTTTAAAAATGAAATATGGACTTTGATCACAGTGCTCCTGGTACAAGTCCTGTTATAGCAAAAGCAGAGCTTTATATTAAAAATTATGGGACAGATTCATAGCTAGAGTTAATTTGCTCAGTCTGGAGCTGCACTGATTTTACATTGCTGAGAGTCTGACCCCAGTTTTGTGTACTGTATTCTTATGAAGACTAAGAAAAATGTTTATATCTGTTTAATATTTTTCTATATGCAATATTGCTGTAATGATCTTTGAAACACCATACTTATGACAACATTCAGAAATCTTAATTTAGTAGTGCGAAATATATTTATCAACATTCCATGTAATTTGTACTGTGTTGATAGTCATTATATACAGATATGATTTGCAATGCATATTTTAATGTATAGTCAACAAAATATATAGTGTGGGATAAAACTTGAACTGATGAAATTAAGTGAAAGGTATGAATTTTTGAGTTGTCAGTGACTGGTTTGTAACAGTATACTGCCATGTGAACAGCTTAAGTAAAAAGTAGTCTTCATTTGATGACACATGATCCTGAAGAACCAAAAATTTTCAGAAAGCATTTTTATCAATATTTTCTCAAAGCACAGGTTTCTGTGTATTTCTCACAATTATAGAGCCTTTTATTTAAACTGTAGTCAAGCCCAATTTTTTTTCCCACAGATCTAGTTTACTTTCTTTTTTGGGGGGTAACTATTTAATTTATCAGAGATATTTCTGTTAAATAATAACTTAGGAGCAAATTCTTCACAAAATGCACAGCCTGTATAAGCTTACACTGTACTAGAAGAGATCTGTAGAGGAAGAAATCCTTCCTATAATGTTTCATAGTTATATTGTGGGTGAT